AAACAATACAATATATCTTATTTATATATATCTTATATATAAAATTCTCGTGTCATAATTTTCGTTCCCATACTCCTCCGAAACGGCTTGACCAATTCTCATGAAATTTTGTGAGTGATATTGAGTAGGTCTGAGAATCGGCTACTATCTATTTTATAATCCCGCGCGGACAAAGTCCTGGGCGACAGCTAGTGTAGATATATAGAGACCTCGTAGAGACAAAATAGTTTTATCTCTAGGAAGTCTATGACCGTTATATATACTATACAACGTGTGGATGTGATTCTAAAAGCTTGAAACTATCATTTTACCTAAAAGTAATCTACTACACATGTTTACAGTATATCGGGTTCATATTATAAGAAAGTACCTCCCGTGGATTTATAGTCTCTTTGTAATAAAACTAAAAACATCTAGAAAAACCTTTTAGCGTACTTAAAGGGTTTCGCATAAACTAAATTTCGCCTCTTAAATATTACATTAAATTTACTAGAGCCTTTCTTCCACTTCATTTTATATGACCATAAGTAAATAATATATAAGTTCTTAGCTATTATGTTTCTTTATTGTCATAAAAACAGTGTATTTCAGTCTAAAAATGATCCACTGGGACTAATTATGGTATGATTACAATTATACGCCCCCATAGTCATTATAACTTTTCCTATCAAACGATCACACCCAAAATTAAAACATAGGATACCCCTATTCGCGATTCGATTTGATATTTTTATAGCCTTATATAGGGTTATACAGTGCGAAGGGGTTAGTAAACGAATCGATTGTATTCATTTTTTGTATCTGAGTTAATCTGCGGGTTATTAATATTGTTTATTAAATTTGGTATGACACAAATAAATGGTTATCTTTTTATATATAGAAACGACGATGCTTTGAATCACTACATAAGGGACATAATGTATTATATAACTCTGGAACTTAACTTTTAACTTAAATCAATATTCAAGTTTCTGTTTAACACATGCCTCTGTTTTCTATATATATCTATTCCTTATCGTCTTGGCTTAGTAACGGAGTTCTTGTGGTGGTACTCACTTTTTGGATGAACAGATTTATTTCATAAAGGCGTCTATATTTTTTAGACTTACTCACACGAATTGTTTTATGTTTTTGCTGATTGCTTAAATCATCGAACCACGCATAATGTCGTAGACAAGTTCTACGGGCGAGGCTTTTTGTAATGAGAGCTTTAAAAACCTTTAACGCACATTAATATTAAATTATTTGATACCTTATCTATATCACAAAGCTTACAAATAAAATACATTTAGAAGAAATTTTAACTACTTAAGCTAAAAAAATAATTTCTACCATTTGCAACATCGGACTGATTTTATGTTTACAAGCCTATGTAAAGTTATTCGGTAAAGTTTATATTAAAGAAGATACAAAGTTAGATATTTGTTATGAATAATGTATGATGTTAAAGTTTCAAAAGCTTTACAGACCATTGCACCGGAACTATAGGCTGGTCAGAATTATCTCTCACGGAATGATAGGGGACATCCATGGGGTGCCCGAATATTTTTTATTATTTATGTAATATTTCGCAATTTTTTAAACAGAAGGGTGTATCCCCTCGCTAAAGGGTGGGCCCGGGCTGAATGAATTTATTGTCCTTTGTAGATAAACATATCAATTTGTTGGTGCTTTGTTAGCGGCATAAATATGTGCTACAATTGTTGGTGGGCCGTGTTCAGTTGTCCCGATGGCTCTTCCACGGCCACACTCGGCCGCGAGTCTTCACTTTATCTTTATTACTACTATCAGTTGAGTGTCTTAAAAAGGTTATTTTAATCTAGAAGATTGGAATAAGGTAAGAAATTTTAATTTAATATAATGCAGTCTGTTTATGTTGCATTAAGCAAATCGCTTTTAGAGGTTTTTTACAAATACATCAGTGACATTTGTCAATTTAAATATTACTTATAAAGGAAATGGAAAATTGTTTTAAATAGTTTTTAGATTAAGAATTATGAATTAAAATAGCATACTTTTCATATTTTTCATTATAGTAAAATAATAATTTCTTGCCAAAAATATTTATAAATAACTGAATAGATCATTAAGCTTATATAAAAAAAATCTAAATGGTCAAATGTATTTTTATCTACTTTAATAGATCACTAGTTTGTGAAAGTAAAAATGTATCAAGTAGTTCATGAAAAAAATGGGATTGGGCCTTAATATCGTAGGCGCGGGGCGCGTTGTTTATATCTAGCGTCCATCTTTCATCCTCCAGCCGTATCCGCTAACCACTTCCTATAGAAAAAAGTCAGAATATCATCGTCGGAGCGCTCCCTCCGCGCGACTTTAACCATGAATCGATTAGAAAGCAAGCGAATAAAATCGATTTTCCTCCAAATCTTATAGCCGTAAAACGTCGGTAGCAGCAGTTTTAACGTTCGGATTGTTTACACGGCGGCGTCGCGAGTGTAAACGATTGTCGATAATTGATGATTTGATTTACAACATCACCAAACAACCGGTGTTTGGGTGATCGGCAGCTTCGCCTTTGAATGAAACGGAGTTACAGGCCACTGTCTGCCTGCCGTAGATCGCTCTCTTTCTATAGTTCAGCTGTTTATATGGTTATAGCCAGGACGTTGCTAAAAATAAGAGCACGTAAAAAGGAACATTCGTTTTTTTTGTTACAATAAAATTTACTAATCTAATATTAGCTTTAATTATAATAATTAATATTCTGTTGGATACAATTCAAAAACATTAACACTTAAAATAACTGTATAATTTTAATAAAGTTGTAAAATGTTAAAATCGAACAGAACATAAAATTCTTTACAATAAAACAACGATCCATTAAGGCAAATAAGAAGGAACGGCCTCTTATCGCAAGTCGACAATAAAATATTAACAAATATCCATTAAAAAAGCGTAATCAGGCGATTAAAGGTCAATACACTGCGGTGTTCTCATAAAGTGTACGGTATGTACTATAAATTTTATACGGTAAACAATGAAACAATCGACGTTGTAATGTCAAACTTTTGCGGTAGGTTATGGAGCATTGTGACTCCTTCCGTGTGTTTTATTAGACTGTTATTGAGACGCCTCGCGGACCGTTTGATGAGGCAATATCATAGATAATTTGACATTTATTTTTGTTGATGATTGTACCAATTATACTTCATTGTAATAATGAGAATAGTATGAACAAGTACCATGAAATAACTATCAAAAATATAGTAACTACCAATGTGTATCTTTAATATTATATCTTAATCTAAGCACAATAAATTGTATTATAATTTTTTGTTCCACTAATCAGTTTGTCTTCGTCACATAACTTCTTATTTAAAAAAATTAAGTATAGTTAACAACCGTAATTCGCATAACCTCATTTGTAACATTCAAATTAAATTACAATACTTCACGGTCATTGAAAACAAGAGGAATATAATTTTTACATTCAACAGTTTTTTACATTATGTAAATATTCGTTATGCCTAATTTACCGTGGGAAGGACGTACGATGTATGTTTTTTTTCATTTTTACTTTTGTCTTATCATAATATATTTTTAATATATTAACTACTACTCTCAAAATCATTTAAGTAGCATCTTTTAGTGCGGATTTGATAAAAAAAAATATTTTGAATTCAGTACAAAATTTGTTTCATATTTCGTTCTACGATTTATCTATTTTCACATTAACCTCTTATGTGTTATTAATAGCCCCTTAGTGTTGGTTCTCCTGCTAAATCTACACTAAGAGATGTCATTTAATAATTGAGTGCTACAGTTGTTGTGCAATCCGTCACTTAAATAAAAATAACTTCGTATTTTTTAAAAGTATGAGTGGACAGTGTTTATACGTTAAACTGCGATTATGATTAGCCATTTAGAGCCTTGTTTACGGCTGCATCGCAATAAATTCACTTTATTGTGTGTATCAATCTCAACTTGTGACGTTGCGTGCCCTAGCGCATGCCTCTTGACCTCCTCGGGCTGCAAATCATTGTAAATTATATTTTATTATCCACAATTTAACTTGTTGCTGCGATAAAGAACCCCGTTTCCTTAATGGTTTTATATTAGCGTTTATATAATCTGTTTCATTACTTTAAATGTTGATTTTAATGCGCTTTCCTTCTAATGATCTAATGTCGTGTGTAGGGTAGTGAAATATTTTTTTATAGTTTCATAACGGTAACAGTGACCGTTGAATTTTAATTTAACTAAAACGATTTGCAAGAAAGAGATGCATATCTGTTTCTTATATGTAAGGAGAAATTGTAAGCTAGTACAGTGATATATTAGTACAGTAAACAGTGATCCTAAGTAGTTACTATATGCTATGTATTTTATATAATACTGTTGATACAGATAATATTTTTTTTAATTTCGATATGAATTAAGGTGAATGTTTTATCTATGGCAGACTTAATGTGTGCAAAATTGTTACTTAATTTCTCTCACATTTATTGTATCTATTAGACGGTGAGTTGTACTAAAAGGTTTTTATATAAATAATGAAAGTAAATATAAAGCAAACATATCAGGCGTAGTGGTTTCCGCGTGGGCGCAACACAACTTAGGACCGCCATCACTTTAAAGGCGGGCCGTAAATTCTCCGCCATTAATATTTGCTTAACTTACCATAAAGTGAAGTGGCGGGCACCGCGCCGACCTGTAAAACGTGCACTTAGTAAAGATTATCTCCGCGGCGCTGCGAGGCTGTAAATAATACGCGTTACTGCACTCAGTACTCGGTACCTGGCCCTAATTTACGAGACGACTACATATTATGGAGAAAAACTAAGAAAAAGTTTAATTTAATTAATACGTGGTTTTACAGCAATGGGCAACTGATCGATTTTATGCGTGGTTTTGAAGTCTTAAAGTATAAATATTACTAAAATGGGTAAAGGTCTATAATTATTGTACAATTATTTCAATAAATTCAACTATCATCATTGTAATAAAATGAATAACACTTTATATTTTATTGTTTCCAGATCTCATCAATATGGTATAAAGAAAATTCTTTGAAACATCTGCACGACGTTGCCTTAACGGTATGTTACAATTATGTTTAACGCGAACAAAAAGTTATGTTTTAGTGGAAAGAGTTTTAAGTCAAACAACAAGACTGAGAGATTTTTTTTAAGTAGATATTGTTAGTGTCTAACCAATTCGGTTTAATTAAATTCGAGTATAAATGAAGTTGAACTTGTTCTGAGAGAAACGGATGACGACGAACTCCCGCCATATTTTAATTCCGAATATTTCATGCCCATCCTCGAATCAAAAGAAGGCAATCAGCCTCTTCCTCAATGCTCATGTCTGTGCGAGGGAGACGGCGAAATGCGTTTTGTATTCAGCATTTGATATCGCCATAAGAGCGATAGGGACAAAAGATCAACAAGTATGGCGTCGCTTGATCGACGGAACGTGCTATCGCAGTGGAGTGTCTGATGCACACATGTACAAAAAATACTTTTGTTTGCATTCCAATAGAGTTCTCCGTTGGAGCAAGATGGGAGGGTCTTAGAGTCAGATATACTGAACATTTGGCAGACTTGACTGAATGATTTTTATCCCAAAACCTATTTTCTCTCTTTTTAAATCATTTAAAAAAATATATTTTGGCATTTATTTTAAAATGTTTACCTTTAGAGATGATCTTTTAATATTTTCATCAACAATAATTATTATTACCTAACCAAAATTATTTGTTTGTCTCAACATTACATCTACAGTACTCACTTACTACTTACTCAATAACAACAATTAGGTGTCAAAAATCTGCAATAAAGAATTGATTAAATAATCACGAACTCAATTTGAGCGCGGCAAACTTCATTAATATTTTTTTTTTGTTTAATTTAACTCACAGTAAAATAATACCAAATGTTGAATATTCATGTAGCGTTTACAGAGCAAATAGTTCATCGTATGATATATAGAGGGCGCTATTCTTCAAACCCAAATATGTAGTTTCAAATACTATTGGACCAAATACTAAAATGTTGTTTATACTTGGCCAAAATAGTGTATTCTTGTCTAGTTATGATAATTACTTGCAGTTTGATTTATACCGTGATTTAAAATATTTTGTCATACTTTTACATTTGGAATTCATTGGCAACATTTGGAATTATTTTACTGAGGCACAAACATTTGGCATTGGAATTTCATGGTAACCTATATATTTTAGTAGTATTTTCCTTTACTTACAAAATATTCAAATACACTTTAGGTTCATTTACTTATTTATCCAAGTAGGGTTTAAAAAATCAATCTTGTGGAAATAAAAACAATGAAAATTGATATAAATTTAAGAATAGTACAATGCATTACAACATATTTTACAGATGTAGCTAGAATTATATTTTTAATATTCTAAAGCTTAGGCCGAACGCTTTTTCGAAGCTTTACGTATTCAAGTTCATTGCATTGCCGAAAGATGGCGGTTACAATAAACCTACGACATTAAATAAAAATATTATTTTAAAATACGTCAAAACCGATATCATTAGTTGCAATGTTACTTATTTAAAATTAAAAGATAAATAAAATATTGTATTTATTTATTTCCCATATATAGTTGTTACTGGTTCTCCAATCCAATTAGACTTCGCCCATTCTTATTCAAAGTAATTTTTATTGCTTAAAATTGCTTCTCTATTTGTTTAGTTATAAACTATTGATATCACTAGAATCATTAAACCATTTTCGAAATGCAATAAACTATTATAAGATAGTATAAGACGTACAGCGCGGATAATTACCTGGCGACTTTATTTTTTATTTTAAGTGTGGGAGTAAAAGAAAATATAATTAAAATAAATCTTAAGAATAAGTATATAGACGGAAAAATATCTTGAAATAATATTGGTATTTTTTTATATATTTTGGTCACTTAATCATTGTTTAGTTAAGCCATTATTATACATATACATACTTTATTATAATAGTTTACGGTTAACATGATACAAATTGATTGAAAAGTGTTTCATAACCACATTTCCTTAACAGTTTTTATAATCATATTTTAAATAATTAACTGTATTGTAAATTAAAAGTAGAACATATTTGTTCAAAACATTCAATAGAACAAAATAGAAGATTTATTACATTCACCAAACAATATAAGTTGCCCCAAACAAATATTTTAACTATCGCATAGACAAAACCCCTGATATGAATATGAAAGCAATGTTTATGATACCGTTGCGCAGACGCTTCTAAGAAAGCCGATTTGGCCTAATTTTGAATGAAAATTCAAATTAGTTTTTTTTGCCAGCAAAGAGAAAGCTTTGCGACACATCGTCAGTTTAGTTCGAGATTTACTACGTGAAAGTAGTGCTGTGTTGTATAAAACATGTTTAGAGTCTGTGATAACTTTGTTTTAGTTCTAATAATTCATTTTAATGTAAACACGGCGCGGATGCGAACTTGCGACGTCTGGCGGACTGCCAAGCATCGCATGACACGCACCAAAACGAAACACCGATGGAGGGACAAAATGGTAAACTATTTTTTTTTATCGCATAAGATAAATTCATCTACAAAAAGTAAAAACATATTTGAAATACTTTAAGCTATTTTTTGGTTCCACTAAAATACAATCTGACTAAATATATTTACTACCTCGAATTAAGTGTTTGTTAAAATTCTAGTGTACATTATTCTAGATATTTGTTAGCAGTACGACTATCAATAATTGTAAAGTATTAAAGAACTTACTTTGTGGGTGGTATAATTAAAAGATCTATACGTATGAGCAGTTTATTAAATGCCTCGAAATAAAATTATGTAGAGAAACAGTTAAATTGTTGCAGCTGAGCATTCCTAACATTATTTTAATAATGAATTAAGCCGGTTGAAACAATTCTCAGTGTGTGGTCGAAAGCTACGTTGTTGTTAAAATACTTGATAAGTCACGCAGGCGATTGGGCTTCGCCGATATACATAATTTATAACATAACAAAGTTCATTATGTATCTTTCTTTATCTGAAATAAAGATGGTATGTTGTGTCACAAATATAATTTACATACTTTATATATATTTATATATAAAATACAAATTTCAATATCAATAATAGTAAAGGAAATAGCTAGCATTGTATAAGGGAGGTCTACAAAATATTCTTGACTACGTATCACGCGGACCTATTAAAGACTTGAATATAATGAATGCTAAGGATAAATAAAACAATGCAACCAAAATATTTTATTAAATTAACTCTTATGTTATTATTTATGAAATTAAAAATATTTGAGCCTATCTCTATATACTCTATTTATAATAAAATTTATTTATAATAGTACTTAAATCTCTCGGTATTTTCCATTTAATTTTACTCCTTTATTAGTGAAATTGGATGTAAACATTGCTTAGAACAATAGCTATTGAGGTTTGTTCCCGACCGATTAGCAGTCGGAATCCGAGCGCCTTAATTACACTAATTAAAAGGGAAACAGGAATGTAATTTCAGTTGACTTGGTTACGGTATACCACCGCGACTTGAGAATGTTTATTGTTCTGTTCCTTAATAATACGTTTCAACCTATTTCTTTATACGTATAAATATTATTTTAAAGGAATTTAGGTTAATGAATAATTAATACTGTTGTCACGGCATATTTTCTCCTATTATGAACTTTTTTTTTCATATTATAAGGCTATTTATATGGAAAAATATCAAAAAGTTAAATTATTCTTTATTAGTACAAAACACATTTGTGAAGGCAGTATCTTTTTATACAATAATATAATTATCAAAGTCTCTATCTAGAATATTTTGTTTTTAAATTTTTAATTACCTAAATATCAAAGGACTGAAACGATTTGTTTAATTAATTATATGTAAACAATAATGTAATATTTTGGTATCATTAATTATTTCCATTAACTGTTTTATATTAAATGTGACAACAGTGACAATAAACCTATCTGACATTTTCGTCAAAAGAAACAAAGATACGAATAGATAACACTATCGTAATCACATATCGTTAATTGTCTGCATCTTGAATATAACCTCATAAAAACATAGTTAATATTAACCTTAAGTTTTTATCGCGAAGTGAAGCAAGTTTAACGAGAATTAAAAATAATTGGTGATGATTACGAGGCAACGCGGGTGTTCTGATGATGGCCGACGTTACTGCCTCGCAAATAAGCTGAGTCTTCCATTATCCGTCTCGCTTACGCTTTAACTACGTACAGATGTAAACTTGTGTTGGTTAGCTAATTAACTGGTAGTCGTTGCCTTCCTTATAAGATAGAGGGGTAAACTGTAATCTGAAATCACGTACAGTTAAACTTACCTTTAAATTTGAAGTAGTATATACATTTTTCATTAAAAGTATTACTGGTGATGATGAGCTGTCGGTTCAACAGATTCAAAGGGTTGGCATCGGTCGATCAACAGTCAGAACTTTTCATGTACTTACCCAGTAAAATGAGGATGATTGCATTAATTAATTAAAACACAGTCATAGAAGCACCGCTTGAAGTTTAATGTAAATGACCTTAATCTATAATTAAAATGTTAAAATGCAGATTTTTAAAAACCCATTTCATTAACATATTGACAAATTAAGACAATAATAATCATGCTCCAATACGATTCAACCTCTTAAAAGAAAAGTCTCGTGTTCAAGGTTAAGTTAAGTGAATGCTTCAACGATCGCATTCGAATAATAAAATCGAACGAACGGATATGTATCGATAGCGAATAACATCATTACACTATATCGATATCAGAGAAATTTGAATTAAATTCCAATTATCTTTTATTATCCACATCCTCTGATAATGGTATTATGACATCCAAGTAGGTTTTATTTACGTATACGATTAGTAAAGATTACAATTATCACTTATATGTGCTTGTGTAAAACCTAGTTATGTTATGTTATTTTTAAAAGTTATAAGCAAATTTATTTTAATTTATTCCTAGGTATACTAATTATGAAATATATATTGTTTTCCTTTTATACTTTTATGATATTACCAGACTGGGGTGTGAGTGAAAACAAGACCGGAAGGAGGGAAATCCATGC